TCTTTCCCTCTAAATGCTAAATGTTTTCAGGATTACTTTCAGGTAAAACACACTAGAAGGTACTTTTTGTGCCATGTAGCATAACCATTTCTATGGTTTCATGGTACATTTTGTGCCGTGTAGCATAATTTCATTTTGTGACCTCTGTATTTTAAAAAGAAATAGTTATCTGTGTTTCGTGGATGGAACATTTAGTTTACTGTTAACACTCTGAACCAGATAGGCTGGCTGGTTTTGCTAGTAGAAAGTTCCTGCTATCCTGAACTTCTAAACATCTAGTTAACAAATGTAGTATTTTTATTTACTGTACTGTAAACATAAAGCTATATATTTTTAAAAGCCAGAAGAAAAAGGCTTTTAGGGGCAGTTTTTCATTCTTCAGAGTTTGTTTGCTTTGCTAATTTGTTCAGTTCTGAAACAGGCTTTGAAATATAGGAGGAAATAAAATTATTAGATCACCCTTAAAGTTTACCCATTAAGATTTTTTTCCAAGAATGAGACAGTCTTGCTATGTAAGACTTACAAATGCTTCCTGAAATGGTTCAGTGTCAGGAATGTCTTCTGATCATTTAGATAATTAATCTAAATATATTTGGCTACATTAAGTATAAAAAAAAAAACCCAAACAAAACCAAACCAAAACAAACTCAAAATGTATTTGATAGCTTACACTTTAAAAAGGTGAGTGTTGTCAGTGTTGCAGCGACAGCACTGTTGCATTCTTTCATCCATTGTCTTTTAACAGGGCAACTAGAATTCTTTTACATACAGAAAAGCTGGCCAGAGGGACACACCGCATCAGTTATACTACCAAACAAATATGATCTAAGTGCAGGCTTCAGTTTTGTAATAGTGTTACACAGTACATGTTATCTAATGACATCAAAACATTGGGTACCTTTTTAATGCAAGAAGAATCGTTTGTTCATTTCCTTATTGCTTGCTTCTCTTCTGTTTCTCTAACTCAGGACATAACTGAAAAACAGTCTTTGTTTTGTGTAACACTGCAGTAATCTCAGTGCTATTTTGTACTGACGCAAACCAAATTGATTTTTAGAAGATAAATTTGCATTTTTTTTTACTTGCAGAAAACCTGTGCTTTAAACAATTGTTGATAGTTATATATTATTTTTTAAATGATTTTACCACTGTTACTGTCAGTTTTGAGAACATTCTGAAAAAAGGCCAGTCTGATCTGTTGAGGCAACTTCATCCCTAAGAATAAACTGTCCTTACCACTTTCCAGTTTTACTGTTTTATAAAACCCCTAAATTGCTTTCATCTCTATGATATAAAATTTATTCAAGGTTTTACTTGGACTAAATTGTAATTAATTTTCCCTGTAATTAGTTTGTATTTCCACACTGATACGTGGAGCAAAGCTGTAGGTAAAAAAAAATTGCCTCTCCTCTTGGTATATCTTACTCTGTGTGTCTTGAGCTGCAGAAGACAGGTGGAGCTGGTATTTTTTGTATCTCCCTGTTCTTCAGGATTTATTGAGTAATATACATGAATTTCTGTCTTTGGTAAGTTTAACTTCATCGTACCTTAGCCTCTCGGGCAAAATATCCAATGATGTGTTCTTTTCAAAGTTAATGTTCAAATTCAGCTTTTAATTTTTGTTTTCCTAGGGAATATGATCTTCCAAATATAGGGAATATTTTGGGAAAAAAAAGAGTACAGTAATTTTTAAGTGTCTTGTTTTCTTCATCAGATCTGAGACTATACTATATATGTTTATCAGAAGACTTTAATTGGATTTCTATTGGAGTATCTGCACGTTATTTGCATTCCTTATTTATCGTGTAGTAAATACTCATTTCTTTTCTTGAGAACTCTTATAATTCAAATCCATGCTAACATATCCTTTCAACTGAAAAGGTAACTTGACTAAATGCTGAACCACAGATAGTGGTGGGGTTTTTTTGTTGGTGGGGTTTTTTTTTGTTTGTTTGTGTTTTGGTTTTTTTTAAGTTCAATTAAATTGTAAGGCTGGAGAACAAAGAGGCCAGTTAAAGCCATCTTTCTTCATTGACCAAGACTGCAATAAGTGACTGGGCCTGGAAAAGAAGAAAAATGTAACTGATTATTTTTACAAGCTGCTAGAAATTGTCTATAGTAGATTTTATGCACTAGATTTACTAAGGACAGCTATCCTAATATGATATGAATTTATATTTTCCAGAATATTCATGGAAGTTATTATGAAACATGAGTATTACTTAAATGGTGCATTGTTTCAAAGGAGAGCATGTGCACCTGGTGAAGCTTAAAGTATCCATATTTACAAAAATGTTGGTAGGCAGTATATTACTGAGGTGTAACTCTCTATATAATTTTATGTAGTGAGGCAAGATTTATGTGGGTTTTTTTCCCTTCTTGGTTGACATAATTTTTATGAAGTTTCAATATTAAAGTATTTTTCTTCTGGCGTTGTTCATATAGAAGTAGATCTGGCAACAGATCGCTCTCAAGACACAAGGACAGACGCAGATCCAGGAGTCCCCTGAAAAAACGGTCTAGATCTAGGGAAAGGCAGAAATCAAGAAGTCGCTCTCGTTCTCGGTGAGTTCCATTCCTAAGAAATGATACTGTTGTTCTTAGCACACAGTACAAAGTTTGTGAAAAAAATCTAACAAACCTTTTAGGTGATGGCAAAGGATGGAATCTTGAAATGCTTTAGCCTGTCTCTAGGTTTTGTTTGTGGGACAAAAGAATAGAAAGTAAATTTTTATGCAAGTGTACTGGTTTTGGCTGGGATATAGTTAATTTTCTTCATAGTAACTCATATGGTATCTATGGGGATTAAACCACAACACTGAGGTACCTGAACTTTGATACCAAAGTCTAGTCTACATTTATACCAACGTGCAAGCTGATCGAAAATAGGTAACTTCAAATTGTCAGACTTTAACCAACAGATTAGGTATGTTCCATGTCGCCTGTGCAACACACAAAAAATTGGATGATGCTTCTTCAGTCTATATCTGTTGAGAAGGTTGGGTTCAGGCTGAACTTGATCCTGCATTCTGAGAACATGTATAAAGTTTTTGTGCACGAGCTTTTATTTTTGCCTTTGGCTATTTCATATTGGCTATACACTGCTGTAGGCACAAATGCATATGTCTGTTATGTGGCATATTTACATTTCAGGATCCAATACATCTATATTTTACCTAGTCTATTAATTTTTAAGTGATTGTCTAATTATTGAACCTTGAAATTCCAACAAGATAATTCCTTTATCTCCTTGGATGATAATGTAATTTTCTGAGGGATGAAATCGTGAATATTCACAAACCAAAAGTGCCTATGAAAGTAGCTTCATGAATAGAAGCCTTGGTACTTTTCTTTCTGTTTCATCTCTGTAATTCCCCTGACTCATTTAAAGGGAGCTTCATACTTAGGTTGTGCAGTTGTCTCTTGTTTTCTGAGGGGAGAAGTTTTGTGTGAAGGAGAACTGCAGATCTGTGGACCTCGGTGGGAACAGTTAGGAGTGGGCTATATAGCTGGGCTTCGTTGATGGATCCTTTTGACTCTCTGTTGCTGTTGTCTGTAGCTTCTTGAGATATCTGCTCACTGGAAGGGGCGAGTCCAATGAAATCTCTGTGATAAATAACTGGAAGGCACTTCTTGGGTCATTGTGAGACCCCTTGCTATTGCAGGGATTGTGTGCTGTTTCATCTTTATGATCTTACATTCCTTCTGTGAGACATCTAAAGAGGTATTTGCCAAAACCTGATGGAAACCAAAGTCTTCAGGTCACAGACCATGAATCAAGCCTACTATTTATTAGTAGCCAAACACTTGTTCCAATGAAGAAAGGTGGGGGCTGTGTGTAGGACCTTTCATGTCTGAAGGAGTCTCTTTGAGAATCTTTAAAAATCCTAGAATAGGTACCAATACCAATAGACACAGCAACTTCTGTCACTCTGGTTCTCTTGGACATGAAAAGGCCTGCTGATCAACTTCTCTTGTGCTTTCTCCTGTTTCTCTCTCTGAACAATTGTTCGTTTTCATGTCCTAGAGGCCGGTCTAGGAGTCGTGTGTCTCTTCTATTTGCTAGAAAGGAAAGATGGTTCAGAGTCTCACGCTTCCAAATAATCCTTTATCAAAATGTAATTTTCCAGTCAAAGCTGTGATCTAATAAATTTTTATTTGGCTTGACTACTAGAACATCCATTGGACTGTTTTTATGAACGTGTATCATTCTGCCTATCCCAAAGAAGCTGACTTGTTCTGTTACCTTGCTTCTGTTTTTACTGTCTTAACAATTTTTCAAAAATTTTCAAATTCCTAATGACATTACAGATGATTGAATTGTCTTGGTTGAGTTTTGACCTTACGTTTGCCTTTTGAGGGAATTTGGTGAGATTTTTATCCCTGTTTTTTTGTTTCTGTGTATTAATTGACATTGGACTTCCAAGCAGTTCCAGGATATTTATGTGAGAGAACACTGTAGAACAAAGACTTCTGTCCAGTCAGCTGTCATTATTCATGTGGGGGTCGTTAATCTGCAGTCCATTTTACGTGGACACGCTTTTAGTAAAGAATGGATTTACAAATTGTAGAGTTTTTTTCGCTCCTGACAAAATGTAGAAAATTTATGTATGCATAGTATATAGCTGTATAGCTGTGAGGCGAAAAGACATATTGTTTCAAAGTGTAATAACATCACTTTGAAGATCACAGTTTGATTTGATTTTGGCCTCCCCTTCCCCAATTTGGTTTCCAAATTTTTCCTAGCTATATAGCCTCTCCCTCATGGTGAACAGGGGTGGAAAATGAAAAATTTTTAATAATTACTGTTTTTCAACAGAAACACATATTTTCTCTTGAACAATTAACTTATGCTAAAGAGTTATCTGTAATTTTTTTGTTCAAAGTTCAAAGATGAATTAATGGATTTGTGTTTGGCTTTTCACAGGGACAAGAAAAGAGACAAAGAAAAGGTCAAGGAAAAAGAAAAGGCCAAAGAAAAGGAGAAAGAGAGAGACCGAGACAAAGAGAAGGAGAGAGACCGGGACAGAGACAAAGAAAGGGAAAGTGGGGGGGGGGAGAGAGCGAAACAAAGATCGAGAGATGGTCAGAGACAAGGATAGGGATAGAGACAGGGGCAAGGATAAGGACAAAGACAGGGAAAAGGACAAAGATAAGGAGAAGGAAAAAGTCAGGGAAGAGGTAGACCAGAACAAGGAAAAAGATGATGTTGAGAAAGAGGGGGAGAAGGACAGAGAGAAGATTAAGGACAAGGAGGGAGATAAGGACAAAAGAGGGGACAAAGAAAAGGAAAAAGATGAGGATAAGGAGAAGAAGGAGCAAGAAAGAGAAAAAGAGAGAGATGATAAAAAGAAGAAAGAGAAGAGATCCAGAACACCCCCAAGAAGCTATAGCTCTTCAAGAAGATCTCGTAGCTCCAGCAGGTTTGTTTAGAATTTTTTCATGCTTTTTCAGATTTGTCAGTACAGTAACGTGCCATGAAAAATCCGCATCCTAATTTTTATGTATCAATATCGCCATGTTACTTACTAATTCAATTTGTATTCTTTCTGTTTTGTAGATTTCCCTATTACAAAGAGCTCTGTATGATGCTTGATAGAAAATAGTTTCTTGTTGGGCAGCTGGTGCTTGCCTTTCACGTAACTGTATAGCATAGTCCTTGAGGACAGTAAGTAGATGGTTCTTATGCCATTTCCCTGTGTTGGAGCCATCCAAAAGTTATGATAGAGGGACATCAAACATCATCTTTGTCCTGATGAAAGTTTGAGTCACTGTTACATACTTACATACTGTACAGTGTCAGTCTGTAAAGCAATTTGTTGGGCTTACGAACAGTTGGGTATTTGCCACTTGGCCACCTTAGGGATGGTGAGCAATGAATTTTCTTGGCTGGATGGCTGAACAGCAGGAAGCAAGCATGTTGCTTGGTTGGCTAGCTATTCAGAAAGTGAATGTATCTCAGTTGGAAGATAAGGATACCTTGTTTAGCTGGTTAGATGGCCAGATACAAGTAAAAATTAACATTCCTTAACCGTGCTGATAGTAAACAGGAAAGCAGTCCAGGTTAATTTAGCTGTTGTTTTTGCCTCTGAGGCAAACTGGTAAACTGGGTGGAAGTCTGGATAAATTCAGTACAGCAAAAGGAGGCTCTGAGATTGATTATAAGCTCTGTAAGTGGACTAACTCAGGCATATTCTAAAAGCATTGCAGCTAACTTAAGTTTAGAACCTTTGGTGGAAAAAGTCCTTTTGAATACCTCAGCAATTACGGAGTTCAATAATATCACATGACAAATTTAGATACCAAATTTTATCTGTTACCTTGAGAGAATGAAATGCTGGATGAATTGGGAAAAGTTCCCTGGACAAAAACAAAATTTCCATAGCCCTCAAAATTCAGGAGTTCATGGTTCATATAATGCAGAAAAGGCTGTAATGGTTTCTGAACATTCTGTTTGGGTTATAAGAAATGTCCATGTTGTTTTGGAGGTTTATGGGAAAAATACTGTGGCTTCTTTAAGCATATGCAGCTTCCTATTTTAATGCATTGTTAACATTATTTCATGGGTTGAATATCTGCACAGAGTAGAGAGAGTTCTGTCAGCTTTGAAAACATAAGATTTTCTGCCTGTATGCCTCAGGAGTGTTGAATTACATAAGTAATTGTGGTGGATTGCCTGGATTGCACCTGGATGCCAGGTGCTCACCAAGCTGCTCTATCACTCCCCCTTCTCAGCTGGACAGGGGAGAGAAAAATATGATGAAAGGCTCGAGATAAGGACAGGGAGAGATCACTCGCCAATTACCATCGGGGCAAAACAGACTTGACTTGGGGAAATTAATTTAATTTATTGTCAATCAAATCAGAGTAGGGTAATGAGAAATAAGAACAAATCTTAAAACACCTTCCCCCCACCCCTCCCTTCTTCCCAGGCTCAACTTCACTCCTGATTTCTCTACCTCCTCCTCCCCCCAAGTGGCGCAGGGGGACAGGGAATGGGGGTTGCAGTCATCACACAGTCTCTGCCACTCCTTCCTCCTTATACTCTTCCCCTGCTCCAGCGTGGGGTCCCTCCCACGGGAGACAGTCCTCCACGAACTTCTCCAACATGGGTCCTTCCCATGGGTTGCAGTTCTTCACAAACTGCTCCAGCGTGGGTCTTTTCTACGGGGTGCAGTCCTTCAGGAACAGACTGCTCCAGCGTGGGTCCCCCATGGGGTCACAAGTCCTGCCAGCAAACCTGCTCCAGCGTGGGCTCCTCTCTCCACGGGGTCACAGCCTCCTTTGGGCATCCACCTGCTCCGGCATGGGGTCCTCCATGGGCTGCAGGTGGATATCTA